CATCCCACCAGGAGGAGACCCAGGGGACGACCCAGGACACGCTGGAGAGACTACGTCTCTCGGCTGGCCTGGGAGCGCCTAGGGCTTCCCCCAACAGAGCTGGAGGAGGTGTCTGTGGAGAGGGAAGTCTGGGAGTCTCTGCTTAGTCTGCTGCCCCCATGACCCGGTTCCGGATAAAGCGGGAGACGACGAGTACGAGTACATAAGCACAAACGCACCGCATTTTTGGACTTCGGTGATGAGCTCTTTTTTTATATATGGCGCCAATCCAAATTTAGCTACGTATCTGGTTTTGAATTTTCCACAAGTAAATGACTGAACAAGCCCCGAATCTGGAAACATTGCTTTGAACAGTTCTTCAATCCCGTCATTAGACCTGAATGAATGGTGGCTTGTCACGGTCCTCAGCACCCAAATCAACTCTGCTCGGAGTGTTGGCGTGGAGCCACAAATTGCTGGGAGCTCAGATGACACGCTTGTTGCAGGCTGTGGATTTCCTATTGTAACATTCAGCGTTGTACTTTTAACATCGTTGCTTGCGGTGGAAACGGTGGAGCAGAAACTAGCAATTGCAGGCTGCTGGCGTGCTTTTACATAGTCTTTATGTTTTTTACTCTGTACATGAGATTCAACTGCTCTGATCCCCATTGTCCCAAGTTTGAAATTCTTCTGACATACAACGCAGCTAGCTTCATAAGCGCTGCCAGGCACCGACCGTAACCAAGAATATTCATTCTTTTCTAACCATTTGTGATTGAACTTGCATTTCCCCGTGTTTAAGTAGTGGAGTGGCTATCAGTGCTGTATTCAGCCTTCCTGTAGATGCTTTAGCCTACGCCATCAAGAGCTGCGCGATACGAGCTGCGCAGTAGGCTAAGCTCTGACCTAACCATAGACAACGCAGCGCATAGGCTACCGGAAAAAAATATTCCACCTCGCAGAACACATTGCCCGCATTTTCACGGTGACATGACAAACAAATATTTAAGACCCATGCAAAATTAATTTAAGACAATTTAATACTTTTCAAGGCCTTATTTTGAGGAAAATTGATTTACCACTTTTTAAGGACCCGCGGCCACCCTGCGGTAATGTTTTTGCACTAAAATAATAATTTTTTGTTTAACCAAAGTATAAAAGGAGTCAACATTTTGCAGCACAGTGTCTAACCCTCAATGGTCAGATCGTGAAGCCGAAACTCTGTCCTCTCATTTATAAAAATCAAAAACAAATGTTTTAGATTTCACAAATATCATATATAATTTACCATAAGGCTCTGTGACAGAAATATCTCATCAAGTCTAGAGATTTTCAGACGACAGGTGTGAGGTGTTCACCGTTTAAAAACGGTCAAACCTTAGATAAGGAGTGAGATAAAGTGCAGTTTTATCAGCCTGCATGGAACAGAGAGAAACAGAGCTGCCTGTGGCTGCACACTGCCGGACAGCTTGCTGATTGAAATCTATTACATCTTCAAGAATGAGAAAAAATATTTATTCTTAAACATGATGAGGAGTAGAAGCATTACAAATCCTTCCAAGTCGAGGCCATCTACCTGTTCTCATATAGCGCCAGCACGAATATGGGATCACACAGGTAGATGGAGGAAGGAAAAAGAACGAGTGGCGGATGATGAAGGTAAACAGCATCATTGTTTCAGCTACGTGAAGGAATATCTGAGGTGGGACATAATGAAAATCAGACTCACTTTAAAATACTTTAAAGCAAATCTAACATAATGCAAAATTCTACAAAGCTGAAGACAAACTGGATCTAAGGACATTTTACAATCCTTGTTTGGCCCACAGATAAAACATAGATCAGCCAAAATATCATAAATAGTCATTTAAACAAACAGGGTGAAAACTCTTTTCTCAGACACTCAAAACACTTTTCTGATACAAAATATGGGTGAACATCATCAAGTAAAACCATAAAAATATAGCATAAACTTTATAAAACGTTTTCCATCTAAATTTTTATATACAGAGAAAAAATTCTTACACCAGATATTTAAAGTCTATTTATCTAAATCTATATTTATAAAAACACCTGCAGTAAAAATGTCAG